GCACTTCTTCCTTGACGGACATACCCACTGATGTTAGCCAAGGCAACACTTCACTGCACTTGGAAGTTCTTGGAAGAGGATTATTTTCTTGTCTCTCCTTTTAATATCTTGTCTAACTAAATACCGGAACCTTGTTAAGACTATCTGCTGCTGCTGAGGATCCCCCCCATTCCAGAGTTCCCACAGGGGAAAGATTTGTTTCAAGTTAGATAAAATACTGACATGAGTTCAAGAAGTTATAAATTAGTCACCGATGAAATTTGACTACAAACTGGAAAGCTTCTTCTGGTTTGAGGAATTAAGTCCCGGAGCATGTGCCTAAACAGTGCCGCAGAGACAAGGGTCCTAGCTGGTTTAAGATGATGCTCAGCAAGATTATGGCAAGGGGTGTATGACAGGCTAGAGGAATGGGTAGAAAAGGTAAATTAACTTCTGGTAGTAGCCAATATTTAGCTCTCACCAACGGAAGGAAATGTTTGCTGCTCAAGTCAGTGGCAACTTCAGCAACTTCTTGGTTCCCCCCCGGCCTTGCTTTGAAGGTATACAGGCCATTTTCCAGGATCACAGTTCCTGCTCTTTCCCAGTAGCACACTACAAGCACTGCTTCTCCTCTCACTGTTGGTCCTGGTATTTGCTGTTGGGGTCTGGGCAAGGCTTTTTTTGTTTACAGTGACTGAAAAGCTCTCCTCTGAGCTCATCCGGAGCAGCAGGCTCCAGGCTGAGGCAGGGAGTCTCTGGCTGTATGGGCTCACGGTGAAGTCAGTGGGAAGGATCAAGGTTTAAGATTTCAGAAAGGCCTTTTCGCTTGTGTGCAACTTTCTTTGAAGGGATGCGCCTGGGATTCTTTTTCCTCCTTTTTTTCCTCCCTTCTTCACTACAAAGTTTACCATGGAAGATGAACAAATTAAGTTCAAACCTGCCTCCCACACTCCTTTCCCCCCTCCCGAAAGGTGCAACCTGGGACAGATTTCAGTCTCAGCTAGCGGTGGTGGCATTGTTGCTGTGATTGCTCAGTCTCTCGCCTCGCTAAGCTACTTTTACCTTTTTTTTTTTAATGTTTAATGTGGGGCCTGGTGCCAAAATCCTTTAGCATTGTGGGAAGGTGTTATCTCCTAACAAACTACTCCTCACTGCTTCCAGGGAAGACTTACGCTGTGGGCTCCGTATTTTAGGAGGCTGGAGCAATTAACTGAAGTTGTATCATTTAAAGACGTTACAGACTATCCCAAAGAAGCCATTGCCTGTTAGTGAATAGCTTTGGGAAATGATTAATAAAGCATTTTTCTGTATATTTGTATGTTCTGGGGTCTGTGTAAATCCAACTAATGTTCGTATTGCAACAAATGTCATTTACAGCTGAGGGTCTCTAGAGAACCCAGACAGTGATGGGTGGAGGTAGGGAGCCAAACCTTTCACGTTAACTTCATTGATGTGGAACGAAAATGCACAATAAATGGGTGTTGTTTGGTGAGACCACCTAGCTAGGTGTTGGATTTAGGGGGTGTCATAGGTGGAAAAAAAATACCTTGAATGCCAACAGGTGGTGGGTAATTGGGTTTGTACGTGCATGAATGTCCAAAACGGAATTTTCAACCTCCCAAACGGAAGCGGCTGCTTGTGAACTACAACTGGTACGAGGGCCAGTTGTAAATTTTACTACCACCTGGACTAAACCAAAGTGGCATATCCGAAATTCTCAGGTGAACAAGGGGTCGCAAGACACAAGCAATGCTGAGGAGCCTGCTTGTGCCTCGTCCTTCTGCACACCGACGGTTTGGACTGGGAGAACCAGGGCCTGGCAGCTCCAGGAGGAGGAGCTGGTGCCAAAAAGAAGGGCTTAAAAAAACAAACAAACCCAAAACAATGGTCTGGGAAGAAGTTTAAGATCTTGGCTGGAGGAAAGATGCTGGAGGTGAGGGCTCTGCAGGGAGATGAATGCCAGGAAATGGCAAGGGCCCTCGGGCAATCCCACCACTGGCTCATTAATAAGCAGCTTTATGTCCCAGAGGAAGACAAAACCAAACCCACTTGACACATACAGATGAGAGAATGGAATAATTTTACATACCGTCACTAGTGGAAAAGAGTCTGGGTTTTTCAATTTTTTTAAATTTTATTTATTTTTTTAGAAAAGGAATAAACTCTGCATGGTAGAGTGTACGGTATATAATTTCAAAACAGAACAAGTGATACGGAATGGATTATTTTCCCAAACTATTTAAAGTTGAACCTAAAATCATTTGTAAATCAACACTCATTACCATGTAAGACAAAGGCAAACAATCAACATGTTTTTTGTTTGGTACAGATTTCCTCTACCACTTCAGCCTGAATTTTCCCAGGGCTGGGGAGAAAAGGGGGGCAAATCCTGCCCGTTGTCCTAACCATAGTTGTACTGACCAAGCTTTGTGCTCTGAGATCTAGCATCATATGGCTTTATATACGTTCCTAAGCGAACAGTGCAACATCATCACCATCTTAAGTGTTTATTCCACATTCAAACTGTAACTGAACATCACTCCGAAACCCTTTCCCGCCCCCAAAACAACAACGACGAGAACAACAACAAAAAGCAGAAAGTCTCCAGCAATCAGATTTCATCCCAGAAATCTGTGTAAACTGTAGATCAGGGTTGGGTAGCAGCACAGAAGACAAAAGATGTGACAGCATGATTCAATAGTGTCTCTAAAGACTACTGTAAGACTGTCATTCTTTAGTCTGCATCTTGCAATCACAATTTGCTTTTTCCCTGCAATACTATAAAGCAACATAAAAAAAAAAAAAATCATACTCAAAAGCAAAAGGTAGAAGCCTTTACGGAAAGGTAAAGCTTCTGCTTAGCCTTGAGTGGTCACTATTAGAAACAGATCTCTGCAATCAGAAGCAAATCTTGAACGTATATACACAATTTCAGTGGGAAGGGATGCAGCCAAGGATGGAAGCCCTTCTGGCAGACCCGCAGACCGTTTTGGCTTGTAGGTCAACACTACACTGCCATTTTGGGTTGAATAAACCGGCAGGGCAGCCGTAGGTGTTAGGCGTGCTCAAGGCTCTTGGCTCCTCTGTTCCTTGGCTGCTTGGAGGCTGGGAGGAGGAGGAGGGAGCAGGAGCGCTGGCGAGGCCCCCCCGCCCCTCACTCCACAGCCAGCCGAGTGACGTGTGGGTTGCAGCGGCGTGGGGCGTTGCACCGGGGAGGTAAGTGCACGCTTTTCTCTTTACCCTCTCCTCCCCAATCCTGTTGGAATGTATCTAATCAGTAATTAGATAAGTATGAATAATAACTGTAAGCTAGCGTAGTCACCCTCCTCCTTAAAATGGAGGGAGAGCAACAGCATCAAACAAATTCCCATTCGTCCTGACACGTGTAACCTTTCCAGATCCTATAGAGCAATCATACGCAGGCATTTTTCATACTAGAATTTAAAGGAGTCAAAGCTGGTAAAGAAACTGGATGTTTCCTGGCCTAACTGAAGGAAATAATAAAACTGATTAAAGTAAGAGCAGAAGAAAGTAAGCATTAGTGTGTTTACATCCTCTGGTATGTCCCACTTCTCTATGTTCTGCTCACAAGCCCTTTCCATACTCTGAGCAAGCACTCCCAAACTTAGAGAGGTAAGGCTTCAGCTAAAATCTCATACTTGAGATTTTATATTTCTTTTTATAAATACCATAGCTGTAAGTATTTGACTTTACCGGATCCGTGTGGGGCACGTTGAAGGCAAGGCTTGTTAAGTGAACCAGCACAGGAGAAGATTGGACAGGGGTGTAATCTCACAGGATAACAACTGAACGATGTCCGTAAGCATGGCGCTAGCTTAGTGTGTGTGTAGCATCAGGGAGCTTGGATGAAACCCTCCAGCTTTCTGGGTGTCCAGTCAGAACCAGGGAAGCTGCAAGAAGTTTTACTGTAAAACTCCAGTACTGAAATGTCTAAAGGAACTGGACCTTTAACTTCAATGGGCACTGATTTTAGGTTTTGCGCAGTCAATTCTAGTTAAAAACCAAGAACTTTAACGATAGCTGATGCCCCTGCTGTTGGAGCCTTAAGACACCTGTTATACTGCTGAGCCCTACTCTTTTTTTTTTTAATAAAACACTGTTTTAAGATACAGCACAATAAATGTGCTTATTACGCACTCTAACATAGAGCACAGAAATACAACACTACAGAGTGCAAGTCTAACCATCTCCACAGTGGGAAAAGTGCGAAGGTTAAAAATATGCATGTGGCTTAACACAAGATATTTTTAAAAAACATGACATGGAAATCTCATACTAATGCTTTCATCTTTATCACAAACATGACTGAAAACTCAAGGTCAGTTGCTGATCCTTCTCTCGTAGTAGTAGTAGTGTAATCCTTTCAAAGGTACAATGTTGGAAAGATCAGAGAATAAAAAAACCAAGTGTCCAAAAATGATCCCATTTACCACTTTTCCAGTAGTTATGTTTTTCAAGAAGTAAACACGTAAGGTCACCTTGATCTTCACCATCAGTAACTGATACACTCGGAAACAGCTAAGCCAACCACCTGGACTGAGATCAGTTCGGTGTCGCACACGCACACATACACGGATACACACACAAACACCCCACAGGAAAAAGTGCACTTTCAATTGCTGATACAAAAATAGATTGGCACATTCTTTTTGACACAGTGAAGATATCCTCTTTAAAAGCTTTTTCACGTTAAGAAGTCCTCTTGGAAGTTGCAGCAGGTCTGTAGAAAAAGCGCTACGAGAATGCACTCACGTGGGCTTCCAAGGTTTGTGTGATGGAGAGAGGGGTGGTCACGGAGGCTGCCCTTCAAATTTCTGCCTACTTTCATAGCTGTAGTCCCCACAGGTAGGGTCAGTCGCCACCCAGTTTCAGCACGTTAACCATTTACCAACAGCTCAGTCTTCACCTGCTTTGAGAAAGTAACGATACGTAAATTTGTCAAAGCTGAGAGTTTTACATTGACGCAGTGTTTCCTATATGTTGCCGGAAAAACTGTTTTGGGGAGAGAGAGAGAGTGAAGTGTTATGAGTCTGATTTTGCATTTCCAGTAGTAACTGCGGCTCAAGAGAGCCAAGCGGGAACAGTCGGGAGCCCCTTCCCCGCTGAGCAGCCAGCGCTAGGAGTTCTGCACCAAGCGTCTGTAGTGCGGCATCACTTCGTGCTCGGGAAGGTGGAGAGCAAACTCCAAGGCCACCAGCACCGGGAACTCAAAGGCGATCAGCTCTCGCCTGTTCAGCCGGAACTTCTCTTCCAGTTTCTGCAATGACAGCCAAGGAAAAAAAAATAATTAAAAAAAGTCTTTGTGAATGAGGATTTGACTTTCTGGTGCTTTCTTACAGATGACATTACTCAAAACACACGTGCTGCTGTCATTAAACCTCTGCCCTGCTGGACTTGCATGGCTCTAGGTTTAGAAAATGAGAGCAGGATGAACTGGATGTACTGGATGTACTGATTCCTTACTGTGAAGGTGAACTTACAAAGCTCAGCCAGTCATGCTATTTCTGACATGTTTGTCATTTCACTCATTCCATCTCCAGCAGAATCGTCTTCTAACGATCATAGCGATTACCACTGCAGGAAGAGGAAACTCCTGGCTTCATGCAAACACTGAAATCACTTATGTGATGGAAGACGTGTCTCCTTACTGCCCACAAACTTCCTGCGCTGCTTGAAATCACTGATTTTCCTTTCAGCATTAGACTGTGTTACAACACCCTATTGGGGAAATTATTTCTGCTACAATTAGATACGTTTGATCTTAATACCTCAGAGGCTGAAGGTGTCATCTGCAACAACCATAAGAACAGTGAGTAAGAGAAACTACTATCCTCAAGGGGGATGAGATGGGTTTCATAGTTGGCTTTCTGCTGTAATGTACTAAACCTCCCATCTGCTCTGCTGTTTTCACTGGATTTGGATGCTCCAAGTAGGCAACCAGCTGTTCAGAGATATTTCCCCCCGCCCCGTCCTCTTCTTACGATCTCCCTGGCTTGCTACTTCTCTGCCCACTGGGTCTACTGAAAAGCTCAATGTGTCTTAAGGAGGGACCAATGCTTCAGGATAGCAAGAGAGGCCAGATCTTCCAACTCCCCCCGGGTTGATTTTTTTTCTGGTTATTCAGAGGGCTTTCTAACAAACTGACTGTGGACCCAGCTCTGTGACTGTGGCAGAAGGGCATGAGTCCGGTTCTACCCCCCAACCAAGTTTCCACGTCTCTTGAACTAAGTGAGTTGGTTGTAGCCAAGTACCCAGCAATCTGCCCTAACTTTCTGTAGCGTTAAATCAGATTGGTATCTCAGTGCTTGCAAACGGATTATGGAATAACACTCCTTTCTGTTAACTCTTTCATATGGAGTGGGTGGAAGACCAAACAGCTTACTCTACAAAACAATAGTTGAGGTGAGGTGTTCTAATGGGAACACTTCTTCAGGTTTTCTTGCCCAAAAGCTTAACTTGATGAAAGAAATACAAACTCGGTATTCTATTAGACTCCCTCTGAAATTAGTATCTGCATTTACCTCTCAAAGGAGAGTCCTTATTGACGCTCTTGAAAACATAATTAAAAGCAAAATTAATCTCCTGAGGGTTAACTTTTTATTTGTATTGACAGAATGGTGGTCAGATACCTCTCACACCTCACAGTATCTGACATCGGGGTCTTCAATCACATTGAACGAGCTTCCCATGCCTCTGCAGTGACATTGATCACTACTACTTCCACACAAATGTGTAACAAAAAAGGGTATTTAGCTGGCTGTACAGCTGGAAACCTAGAGGAGAGCGTGACCACTGACAAGCAGGCTTGTGTAGACCACACACTGGCACTTCATGTAGAAGGAACACTGGAAACCTATGGATACGTACATCTATAAGATGCTTGACTTCATGTTTTCTGAGGTCACTGCCAATTTTGGCTGCTAAAAGAACACAGGCTCCAGCACAAAGCTTTCTATTCTGCTTGTTCAGCTTCCCCTTGAGAGCGAGCTTCTCAAAGTAGACAAAGGCCATGGCCACTGTGGGCTCTTCAAAACCACATTCTTCTTGAGCAAGCTTGCGCATTTCTCTCTTCAAGCTGAGTAAAGAGACCAGACAAGTATGCTGTGAACTGCGTTTTAAAGCATTTCTCATTTCACCCTAAGAGTCATACTTTCAGAGACTCCCTCTTAGTCAAATAGAGGGGAAAAGGAAAACGTAATTTACTGGGCAGGTATCTTTATGCTCTGTTTTGGGGACACACTTCACGGCACATTTTGACCTCATCCTTCCCCCTCACTGCCCCCAATAGATAGTTGTGTCAAACTCTAAAAGCAACTGAAAAGCTTTGACATTTTTACAATAAATTATTGTTATGAAATAACAATATTCCATCAGAGGTCTTAAGCTGCATAGAATTTGCTTAGTAACAACAGCTTGATTGCTTGTGCTTTATATGCAGCTTTGCTGCAGGTTATGGTTGGTCAAATCCAAACTGACAGTCTTTTCATGTACGGCAGTACTGTCTGGTTACAGAGCAACACGACTCAGTATCCTTCTGGCTACTTCAGTCAAATGAAATTACCGTTACTTCAGTGAAGCAGTATGTCTAGCCTGCTACACTGGAAGCAGTGACGAAATACTAGGACTTTGCTGTGAAGCTGACCACTTGTTTTGCTTCTGGCCACGCTCTCTGGACAAGGCACAGAAGTCAGCATTTTTCTTTCCTCAGTCTCTTTTTAAGCTAAGTGCCATAACTTAGACACTCTGTTGTGTTATTTTTCTGGATATTTTAGTACAGTGCATGCCCAGCTCGCATCTGCATCCCGTTAGATGCCGCGTTTAACACCTGACCAGTGTGCATTTGTACATTCCCCTATCTTGTTTACTCAGCCCACCAATCAAAGCAATCATCTTACTTATTCTGCACCTCTGCCGGTCACTGCTCCTGAAGATCAATCAGTGCTGTGCTTCCCCTCATGTACAGCAGCAATTGCACTGAAATGTGAGACAGCTGCATCACGTTGCAGCCTTACCAAGCTTTGCAGCGTACCTTCTTATTTTACTGAGGGTTAACTTGATGTGAGGGAACTTCTCCTTAAAGGTCTCATTCATGTCCTTCTTGAGATCTGATGGCTTCACGTAGTCTATGACTGTGGTCTGTAACACATGGTCAAGAGAGAATTGCTCTTTTAGTTTGTAACAAACAAGGTCACTCAATTCCCAAAAGCAAGGAATACCAAATGCCAGTCAGTCCCAATACTTTCAGTTGAGGGGAAAATTAAGTCTGAATTAAGGCAACAATTTGTTTGTGACTCCTCCATCAGAACAAGTGACCTGAAATCTGAAATCAGCACAAGCCCCGAACAACACATACCTTATCAGGATCCTCCAAGTATCGCTAAGAGTGAGTTTAAGCTAAATGTGGGTGGATAAAACCTAGCTGAGAAGTCTTGTTAAACCAAAAAAAATTATCACAATAACTGATTTGATGATCAGATTTTGTGTGTATATCTCCATGCGGTTCTGAGACATATTGTGAGTTTCTCTCAAATCAATTCTTCAAAGGAACCGCTGGTACAAATTCTTGACTGCCATAGCGTACACTTGCGATAAAATAGGTAATTAGCCTACATGGCAGGTCATTCAGTAGAGTGCAAGATAGTAATGCTGTCATAAGTTAGGCAGTAAGTGGACAAAAATATTGAGTTAGGACAACATTCAAAGTGTACAGTCTATTTCCTTTACGTTGAGCTTGCTATTCCTTTTTGTCACAACCTAAAGAATTTCCCCAAGTAGCAGAGGGTCCTCCCGGCTAGTACTGCCAACGCCAGCGCTCCCATCTATGGGTGTGCAGCATTTCGCTCCTTCCTTCAGTCTTCATTCAGGAAGCATTTTACCCAAATCCTCTGTCACCACTCACCTGGCCAAAATCTATCAGCTGAACAACAAACCAACCTTCATTCTGGGGATATGCCAATTGTCTTCCTGGCTTTGGCTGTTCTGCCCCTCGGACAGAAGCAGAGAAGAGCCCCAGCTCGGGCAGCCAAGGGACAACCTGGTCCCCAGGCACCCAGCTCCTGGCCAGCTTCAAGCACAGGCAGTGGGAGAACAGCAGTCCGCAGTGCAGTGCGTTCTCCTTCCAGTAAAATTATTTTTCCCTTCTAATTTCTGTTTATGATTAACCTATATTATGGCAAAGGGCTGTTAACATTAAACAACAAGACGTGGAAAGAGGCATGCAAACCACTTGTCGCCAGTTATACCTTTATAGAAGATGGAGCCTTGCTGTATTATATCCTCATGGGAATCTAAATCAGCCAAAAAGACTGACTGCATATGCTTGCAGGTTTTTTTTTTCAATAATTAGCATAGTATATGGAACAGCTTGGGGAGGAGAGAGTGTAATGGCTCTAGAGAGCAATTGGACAACTCTTGTTATCCGATCATGTTCTTGTCTGGATCCAAAATGAGCATAAAGGGGAGTAAAACACACCTAACTTTTCCTGCAGTTTATTTAGGAGATATGGTACTGAAATAATGGATAATTATAGGAATTTAAAAGAAAGCAGAGCATGTGTTTCCCCTGAATAGCACACAGCAGTATTTGAGGTAAACATACTGTAATAGAGAGGAAAAAACAACTTCTTGCCACGGGGTGCTGTTACGGTCATACACACATTTTAAAATATGGGCCATTCTGCTATCTGATTTGCAGTATAAGAAGCATGATCTATCCAGATAAATTGCTCCCCGCTATGTCCTGGCAGGTAATTCTGCTGGGCACATCACGCACAACAGTTGCCTGCCGCTTTCCTAAGTGTAAATGTTTGTGAGCCCCCTCCAACACAGTTACGTGTTAGGCACTAGTCCAAATTTTGCTCAATAAAGGGGATAATTTATTAAGGAAATTCAGTCCTATTACCTGCCAGTTGTAAGAAATGATCAAAAAGGAGAAAGCCACAGCAACCCTCTTCAGCCACCCCTGCTGCCCTGCCTGCGTATGGATGAGCTCCAGCGCAGGTCCAGGCAGACACTGCAGTGCCACTGAGGTCAAAAATTCATACGCGGCCTTGACGCTGAGGTAGGCAATGTGCTACCACGCCTGAATAAAAGGAAGAGAGGAAAAAGACAGGGAGGAGAAACCTTGCCCTACCCAGGGTCGGAGGGAAAGGCTTCAACTGAATGTGTGGGTCTGCCTGGTTTTAATCTTGCTGAGGTTGGAAGGACGTACACACGCACTCGTGCAGCCATGGCTCTTCATCACAGACAGCTTCTCACGTGCTTCATCTCACCTGGCAGAGCTCAGCCCTCCGAAGCAGAAGAATGAAGATCTTACCAATTACTCCTCTCCTTTCTTTCCCTGGGACGTCGCTGCCTGCCTGCCTACTCCTTGGTTTTGTTGCCAGAGGATCATCAGCAAGTTGGGTGCTTCTGATACACAGATATGCTGGGAATTTTACGTGTTATTAAGAGGGTTCCTCTTAGTACTGCTATAAGAGGACTATTGAAACGAGCCACATAACATAATTTAGACCAGTGCCATCTGCTACTCGAAGTACAGAAGCATCGGTCCATGCTGCTCTTACTCACAGAGTCAAGAGACACTGAGCACATAAAGGTTACCCGCTATTAAATCCAAAGATGATTTTAGTTACTACCAGCATTTTTTGGTTGTCTTGGGCAATCCTAGAAAGATTGCCAGTGCTACTGTGCAAAGCTACACGACACCTTATTTCGTGCTTCACTGCAAACCTAACTGCCTGTTGTTTGCTCTCCATTACACGGAGCTCCTTAGTTTTATCTTAATTATCTCCTTCAAAGTGATCATGGGTTCTTCTGGCAGACTTGCATTTGGCTCTCTCTGTGTAACCATCTTTCCTCGCACAGAGGAAGATGCAATCATGAATGAACCTTGCCTGCACGACAGAAACCACTTTGCTGCAGAAAGGGCATGGCAGCGGAGGGAGGGCCAGACCATCCTCTGGACTCAGCTGCACAGAAATTATGCCCGACAGCAAGTTTCAGTTGCTTTCACCTCTAACAAGTAGGTGCCGGTGCGACCCCAGCTCCGGGGGGGACTGTGCAGAGGGGGAGTGAGCCCTGTGCTCTGCCACACAGCAGCAGCAGCCCCCCGGGGTGCACCTTTCCCCACGGCCGCTCTGCAGGCACTGTCTGTTTTACCTGGGACTCCTCCAGCCCGTGGGAGATTTGCCAGAATTCAGTTACATTCTCTTTAGAAGGAGAAAAGCTCTTTTTAAAAATTTTATGTAAAGCAAAGCACTCAGAGGCTTGAGAATAAGCAGACGGCTTAAAACTAAAAATGGTAAGCAGGTATGGCTATTTTTAAACAGAGAGATTTGTCAATTTTGTCCTGTTGATAAGAATCTCCCCCCCCCAACTCCGTATACTGCTGCTTCCTGCAAGACAACAGTCTCTATGATATAAATCACAATAATGAAATCCAGATGAAAGCTGGTGTGTGCTGGTTTTGATTCATGTAACAGGATAACGGCAGCATGTTTGAACACACTGGCTCTAAGGCAGCTGTCTCATCTTGTCAGTGCCATGCTGGAGAGCTCAGCTAACTGCCCTTATTCTCAAGAAAAGGAATTGTGCAACTTCTTTTTTTCTTTCCCCTTGATTTTTTTTTCGTAGCTGCTGCAGAAGCCCCACTTGGTCTGTGCAGTGGGATGCTGTTTGCCCAGCTGGTGCCTATAGAAACGCGTGCATGTGGGACCCTGCCCACCGGAGAGGCAGGCAGCAAAAAAAAAAAGAGAGTATCTGTTGACAGGTAATTTAAAAGCAATGCTGAATTAGTGTCTGTTGAGTGATCGAATCAGTTACCCCTTCTAACTGTTTCTGACCAGGCACCCGAGCACCCCTCTCGCTGTCACGCTGTGGCTGGGGCACAGCACCCACAAGCCTACACAGAAATCCCGGTCCCCGACCTCGCTCCTGCCCGGGGTACCTCCTGCACCCTGCGAACGGCTTGGCACTGAGCAGCAACCCCCCGCCACTGCCCCTGCCCACGAGGGATGGAGCGGAGGAAACCTCCGCTGGTCCCAGCGACCCACAAGTACCAGCTGGGATCTGACACAGGAGCGCTCTGACCTAACGTCATCCTTCGCTGCCTGCTCTCTGCTCAGCGCTTATGCTTCTCTTTTCTCTCTTCTCTTCTCTTCTCTTCTCTTCTCTTCTCTTCTCTTCTCTTCTCTTCTCTTCTCTTCTCTTCTCTTCTCTTCTCCGTTTTAGGCCACGTCATTGTGCTTGAGCTGCCCGTGAGTCCCAAACGAAGCTGCCGTGTTGAGGAGAAGACATGACTGTCAACGGCGTGGATTTTTGTCTGTCCAGAACAATTCTGGTATTGCCTGTGTAGGAGCACTGTTCAACACCAATGCCCCAAATTTTATGAAGGGTTTGCAAGTATTTCCCTAAACGGAGCACAGCATTTTTCTATCCAACCATGCTTTCTTATACATAATGTTATTCCCTACCAGGCAGGCACTCTGCACTCCCGGAGCTGTCAGACACATCAGCAAGTCGCTGGGAACTACCAAACTGTCTCTCTCATACTCTAATCTCGAATGTTTGTAACTTCTGTCATCCAGAAACGTCTGTCTTGTTTCTCACAGCTTCTTTGCACAAAACACATTCCACTTCAGTATTCAGCAATACTCCTTTGTGAGCTCTGTTCACGTTCTCTGTATACAAATCTGTATATGTATATTTTAGTTTGGCAATGGAGTTGCACAAGACAAATGAAAGCCTTGATATATGGTAGCTGACAGATGCCTGGACAACATGATGAATGCTTCGGCTGAAGTCTGTACTCCGTACACTTTTTGCATGGCTGGCAGTTTTGAACTTGGAGGTTAGCTTGTGTGTTATTCACAAGCGTTTTCAAGCAGCTGCTTTCTCATAGGAAAGCTGTATATATAGTTTCATAAATATGGGAGGAGGGAGGATGCCTGAAATGGTTGGAAAGACTGGCAAGATGAAATATTGTTGAAAATAAATCCTACTTGGGCACACTAGCAGTAAAAGATGATCTAGCCTTGGATGCCTCTATCTCCCCATAAGAAGGACAAAATCAGAATAAAATAGGTGAATAAAATGAAAGATAATAGGCTGTCTTCAGTTGTTGTTACTGCGTACCC